TTTTGTGTTTGATCTGACGGTCCAGATTAGTTTTTAGTTCCTATTATTCAGCTAGTTCTCACGGTAATTCGGTTATATATATATATATATATATATAGAGGGTCGAGATTCAGTGAGAATAGGTCCTTATGTGAGAACACTACTAATACATGAGAACAAATCTAGGCCTTAGGATCAAACGTCATTAACGACTCACATCAAACGCGCCTCTATAATGGCAAAATAGTAATAAAACCAAACTTTTCCCCCTTTATAGAAAACTACTTACTGGTCCTTAGAAGAACTTAGGCGGAAGAACTTATGAGCTCCAATCACAATTTCAATGAGATTCAAAGATTTTTAGCACAAATCCGTTCAATTTATGTCAGATTTCAGCAACAACAAGAAACAAGGTTCATTAAACAATAAACAAGTGATGTTCTTAATTTTGGCTAGTAATTTTCAAATTTCATGCTCTTTATTTTCAGATTTTCGTTAAAATTTTCAAATTGAGTGATCTTAATTTAGTAAATTTTTGAATTTGATGTTCTAACATTCGATTTTAGTTTTCTGAAATTTCGAATATGAATGCTCTTAATTTTGGTTATTCGAGTTTGATTTTCTAATTTTTGCTTGATTTTTTACTTTGAGTGTTCTCAATTTAGGGTTTTCGTTAACATTTTCATATTGCGTGTTAATTTTTGTTAATTTTCGTTAAATTTCATATTGAATGTTCTTGTTTTGGTAATTTTTTGTCAAGTCATTCGAAAATTAGTGTTATAAATTTGATAATTTCAATCAAAGATATGTAAAATGAGCAAACCTAAATATGCAAAGTAATATAGTAAAAATAAAATGAGCAAACAGAATTAAATTGAGCAAATAAATAGCATAATGAATGTGTGTATATATTGTTCTATTTTCATTCCACTTTCTTTTTTCTGATTTTTTGTGGATTCTATTTTTTCAAACTTGATGTTATAAATTGATAATTTTAATCAAAGCTATGCAAACTATTTTAGTGTAAACTGGTATATTTAGGTTAAATTTATTGGAATTGATTACTTGGACTAAATGAGCAACAATTTCTCTGCTCATTTATCAAATAAGCAACAGTTTTTTTGCTCGTTTGTCAAATGAGCAAACAATTCTTTGTTCATTTATTAAATAAGCAAACAATTCTTTGTTCATTTATTAAATGAGCAAACAATTCTTTATTCATTTATTAAATGAGCAAACATTCTTTGTTCATTTATCAAATGAGCAACATTTCTTATCTATTGTAAATGTTCCTCCAAGTTTAGATTTCATCTTGGACTACAGCTCTGTTACTTTGCTATCTCAGTATTTAGTATCACTAAAGGCCTCCTTCAGTTTTCTTTCCAAAATAGTGTATAACAAACTTTTTCTTGTATGAGCAGTTTAAGTTTGGTGAACAGTCTTGCTATTCTTTAATTTTTAGCATCCTCAATTTATATTCATCTCTAATTCTCTGGTTTGTAACTTTTGGGTGCTTTGAGCCTTATCATTTATGTTCTCTTTGTATTCAGGCTAAATTAGGGGAATATTCAATAAGTAGACAAACCAGCAGTGTACTTTGTGGATGCACTGTAGACCCTTTATGATTTCTATAGTCAGAAGGTACGTTGGTTGTATTTTATAACTTCGTGTTGGGGTTGTTTGAATGTACTACTTGCTCATGTACTTGATGTGATTCTAATTTGCAATTTTCTTAAAGGCAGGCACTATGGATACATTTATTGCGTCATTATTGTAAAAAATAAGGATTGTTAGTTTCTTTGTGATCACTTCAATTTTGGTTGAATGCCTGCATGTTATATTGGCCACTGGTTTCCTTTTTAGGTGGGTTGAACATAATCTCTGTAATTCCTATATCTCAAGGTGGTATGCTTCATTAAAAATTTGAGATTTTTCTTTTGACTTATTTTTCTCAAAAAACTAACCTACTAGCTCAATTGGTAAAGCATTGTGTAGATGCACAAAGAAAGTGGGTTCGAATCCCACATAGTTTATTAATGTATATGAGAAAAACTTTTGAAATTTGAGGAAACATATATCTAAACGTTTTTTTCCATCTGAGTCCAAAATGAGAAAACAATCTTTTGCTCATGTATCAAATGAGCAACAATTCTTTACACATTTATCAAATAGGTAAACAATTCATTGCTCATTTATAAATGAGCAAATTATTCTGATCTTTGCTCATTTAATAATCAAATGAGCAAACAATTCCTTGCTCGAGCAACTATTCTTTGTAACATTTATCAAATGAGCAAATAATTCTTATGTTTATATTTATTTATCAAATGAGAAAACAATTCTTTGCTCATGTATTAAATGAGCAACAATTCTTTACTTATTTATCAAATGAGCAAACAATTTTTTACTCATTTATCAAATAAGCAAACAATTTTTGTGTTTATTTATCAAATGAGAAAACAATTATTTGCTCTTGTATTAAATGAGCAACAATTCTTTACTCATTTATCAAATGAACAAACAATTTTTTATTCAAATATCAAATGAGCAAATAATTAATTACTCATTTGTAAAATAAGCAAATATTTCTTTGATCATTTGGCAAATGAGCAATCAATTTTTTTTTTGCTCATTTAACAAATGAGCAAATAGATAGTTGCTCATTTGTGAAATGAGCAAGTACTTAGTCGCTAATTTAACAAATGAGCAAAAAAGTTTACTTAGCGCTAAACGCAACCTGAGTTTACTTAGCGCAGCGTATATATTTAGCTTAGAAGGGTATTTAGGGTATTTAGGAGAGGTGTATAGTAGTAAGTAGAGGTTGTGTTTAGCAATCATGAAACTTAGTTGCTCATTTGTTAAATGAGCAAATAGTTAGTTGTTTATTTGTCAAATAAGCAAACATTTCTTTAATCATTTATTAATCAGCAAGCATTTCTTTGCTCATTTGACAAATAAGCAAACTAATTGCTCATTTCACAAATGAGCAAATAATTAGTTACTCATTTGTCAAATAAGCAAACATTTCTTTGATCATTTGGCAAATGAGCAACCAATTTTTTGCTCATTTGACAAATGAGCAAAAACTTAGTTGCTTATTAGTCAAATGAGCAAACATTTCTTTAATCATTCATTAAATCAGCAAGCATTTGTTAGCTCATTTGTGAAATGAACAATCAATTCTTTGCTCACTTGACAAATGAGCAAATATTTCTTTACTCATTTGTCTAATGAACAAATATTTCAAATAAACTAACGCTACGTATAATTATAAATGACAAAGTATTTCAAGTAAAAACTACAAAAATATCCAATTTCAATTCAAATATAACCACCACAAAAGTCACCATAATTAAAAGGGTAGGCTCTTGCTAAATTAACTATTTACATCATTCAAAGATTAACAAAGATCCAATTTCGATTCAAACTAAGTTTCTAATTTCAAGTCAAATCAACACTACTAAACTGCTTACAGGTTGATAAAATCATTCTTTCCCTACTTCCCTAAACCTAGAAAGCCAAATCAACACTACCAAGTATCTAAATCAACACTACCAAGTAAAATATTGAGGTTTCACTAACAAGTAGCTTTCTTTAGCCTTTTCTTCTTTACTCCTTTAGCCTTTTCTTATTCAGCCTTAACAGAAACTTTCTTATGCTTTTTCTTCTTATGAGGAATTTCTTTAATGGACTACATTGTGTTTACTTCACTTAAAATTATTGATAGGGTGTACTTCACACGAAGTTTTTGTATGGTTATCACCTGTAGGATATAAAATTGAAAAATTAAAGCAACAAGAAAATTTAACAAATGAGCAATCAATTTTTTGCTCATTTAGCAAATGAGCAAATAGTTAGTTGCTCATTTGTAAAATGAGCAAGTACTAAGTTACCTATTTAACAAATGAGCAAAAACTTAGTTGCTCATTTGTCAAATGAGCAAATAGTTAGTTGCTCATTTGTCAAATAAACATTTCTAGGTTTATGATCCCCTTGTCATATTTGAAAAATGAGCAAATAATAAACCTATTTAAGTGAGCAAAACAATAAACCTATTCAAATGAACAAAAAGGTCATTTTATTGTGTATACTATAGATGAAAAACGGTTTATGATCCCCTTGTCATATCTGAAGAGCGAGGTGTTTAGAGAGCTGTTTCGGATGGCAGAAGAAGAGTTTGGGAGAGTGTATATCAACTAGAAGCACCTGCAGAAATTACTTATTTTAGAAAGCTCTTGACAACAAAGCATTTGTTCTAAGGAAGGGAGAATTAAAGCTTTATCATGGTCAGCCACTTGCTGATGTTGAGGCTGCTCTAAGGTCATTGGTGAAATGAGCATCAACAATATGTGCGACTGTCACCTATTGTTCACAGGAATGATACATTGGTTGCATCAGAATCAGCATCTAGTATGGTTTTGCATTGACCAATTTGCTGTGGATACCCTTGCATACGTCTTAAAACAACTCTTTTAAGCTTCCCTAACTTCCTCCTATTTCTTAGAGGATGTAATATTCATTTTTCTAAGACTAATGAATCCATGCCTACAATGTCTTTACCATACAAAACATCTATTTTGTAGGTTTAAAAGATGCGGAAAAAAAAAGGGAAATTTTCAATGCTGTTAATATTTCAGAATGAATTGTACACAACAGATAGGTTCAGCTAATATGATGAAATTTTATGTGATATTAATTGTGTTATGTGTCACAAGCAGCTTCAAAAAGTGCAGCACTCGTTCTTTGAGCGTGGTTTCTCTTTGGAAGTTTGGGGGTAACAATTTGAGGCTGCTGCAGTATAAAGAAGCGGCTAAGATTTTGAATCTGAACTTGAGAGCAGCTGAAAAGAGCAGGAAGGCTAGTGACAAAGATAAGCTGTATGTAATGTGCTTCACTGAAACTATCTATAAGCTCTGATTGCATAGGAAGGATACTATTTTAGGAAGTTTTTCATTTAAGGTACATTATGAACAAAAGTTCAAACAACAATACAATATGCAAATCATGGTCACTACCACAGGTACCTATTAAGATTTTTACATTATCACGGATTCCTGGCAATGTTCTAATTAACATGCATACAGAATTACAGATTATATACTTGCTAGAATGTCTTTTTCACAATTTGATTCATGGCCATAGACTTAGGAGAGTTAGAACTAATACTTTATAGATTCCTTTCCGCCACACATTGCCTTTGCAATGACTGCAAGTACAACTCTTAGGTGCATTTTGCATCCTACAGACTACTAAGATCACATCCCGCTGATTCTTTTTGTAACTTCCACCTAAGCATTACACACCACGCCTCACTTGAATAAAGACATTTAAATTGATTATACAATCAATTAGTAAAGGACATGCTATATAAAGGAGAGCAAAAAAGCTCCACCACATGGCAATACGAAGGACAAACATCTACCCGAAGGCAGAAATGCAGCTACACCAACCTGTATAATTCATGGGAAGAAGCTCACTACCTTTCTTTCTTATAAATTCAAACTAAAAAAATGAGCAAACTAAAAAAAATGAGCAAACTAAATTCAAATGAACAAAGTGAAATAAAATTAGCAAACTTTAATAGATTGAGCAAACCAAACTAAAATAAATTGATACTTACATTCTTCGTTCATAGGTAACAGCTGGAAATTTTGGTTCATCGTTTGGAGCTTTGGTTGAATCCATTTGCAATTCGCGATTTCAAGGGTATCAGCAAAAAATTCGCAAAAACCAAATTTAATGAATAACGTAATTTTGTATGAAATTTTAGCAACATTACATCTAAATTAAACAACATCAGACTAAATAACTCTATATAATATGAATATTCAGCAAAATATAATCTGAAAATTCAACCACAAAGACAAAATTCAGATTATAAGCAAAATCGTAAATCAAAAAATTTCACAAAAAAAATACAAAATCGAAATTTACAAAAATGAGTGAAACCTGAGAAATTTTCACAAAAAATTTACAAAATCGAAATTGACGAACTTACTAATTGAATGATGAATCGTTTTGATTTGATCTTCCTCTTGGTTGAAATTTTAGAGAGATAACGAGTGAAATGTGAGAAATTTTCACAGTTGTATGGGAAAGAAGAAGAAAAAAGAGGTGTATTTTTGTGGAATTTACAAAAATGTCACTACTAATACTGTTTTTTATACATTGGATCAATTTTGATCAATGGTCTAGATTTGTTCTCACATGATCTCATATGACTCATAAAAGAACCTTCCACAGAACCTAATTTTATATAAGAATAAATCTGGATCGTGTGATCAGAAAGATCTGACCGTCTAAAATAAATAGGTTAGTAATGGCGCTTTTGTAATTTCAACTGCACAATTACCCCTCTCTTTATCCTCCTTCACTCATAATACGTAGAAAATTATTTTCTCTCTCCAGCCTTGTTACATGTCTCTCTCTTCTCATAATTCTTGCTGCAAATTCTTTCAATCAACGCAAGTTCATGAAATTCTTCAAGAAATTAAGGTTTGTCATTCAACTTTAATAATTTTTATTCTTACTTTTATTAAATTTATGTGTTCGGTTTTGATAATTTAAATTTAGTTTCTTTGTATTATGTTCGATTTTTTTTTCTCCCGTTAATTTCGAACAGATCTTTCTAAAATTTCTCAATTTTTAATTTTTTTCTCTTAAAAATCAAACAATTGATCCTTTTTTTTGTTTTTATTTATTTTTTCTTCAGTTGTTATAAAATTGCTCGATTTTTTTAGTTTGTTTTTTTTAAAAAAATTATTAGTTTAAATTGATCGATTATTTGCTTTTTATTTTCGTTAGTCATCATATTGATCTTTTTTTTCGTCAGTTATCAAATTGATCGATTGTTTTTGATCGAAATTCCTGTTCGATTGTATCAAATTTTTGCGATTTTTTTTTTAATGTTTCTGTGCGAATTTTTTTCGATTCCTTTTAAAAAAAAATTCATTTTATTTTCTTTTTTTAATTTTTTTTTTTAAATATTGATAATTTCCTCATATATTACTTATTGCTCAATGATTTATTATTAATGGGATTTCCGCTTGTCTAGCCGTCTAGGAGTTCAAGTTGGAACTAAATTTTGCAATTAAATGTTACTAAACTCTGAAAATTGATGCTACAGTGTAATATATTACAAGATAGGACCAAACATTGAGTTTTATAAGGAGGGAAAATGATGTAAGAATAACAAATTTAGGTATGGCCCGTATGGTTAAAAGAAATTTGTGTTCCTTCTTAGAAAATCCCATCAAATAAGGGCTGAAACCAAAACTAATTTAGCTGTTTCTAGCTACGCTCATCATGTGTGTTTGGAGGACCTAGGGGAGGGGTGTTTGAAGGTTAATTACGCTTTTGGCTTGTCACTGTTGGTTAGTAATAGGCTGTTGCTGGGAGGTTAGCTGTTAATTCTTATGTAAGGTAATAAGTGATTGCTTCTAGTTTGGTGTACTCTTGTTCAGTTGCCTAGTATGAGTTGGGTTAAATATTTGTTTAAAAAAAAAACAAGAAGAAGAAGAAGAATACAGGATGATTCCTAAGTATGAAAGATCATTAATCTTAATTATGATTTTCTAATTTACATACCACCTTATTCATTAACAAGAGAATTAAAAGTATTTTGAACATTACAATCTATAACTATACACTAAAGGCGAATAGAAAATAACATGTGTCAATTTCTGGTTAAATATTTTCCAGCTATTTTTTTTTTTTTTTTTTTTTTTTTTGCAAACCATCTTAAATAATTTACTTTAATAATTTCCTTCCTAATATTTAAACTAAATATCATTCTAAATCTTCCATATCTTTTATACGAAGTATTCAAAAAAAAAAAAAATCAATGCATTGATATCTTTTCCACCCAAAATCAATAATTTCAATGTATAATTTATGTAACTACATATAGAAAATTAAGTATGTAGTAGATATTATTATTATTAAAAAAAAATAGGAAAAATACACTTTAATAATCCTAACTATGGGAGATTTACTTCTAATAATCCCAACTAAGGTTTATTTTTTAATAATCCCAACCATGGGGTTAGTTTGCCTCCAATGGTCCCAATGGACTTGCTGAAAGAGTTTTTTATCTTTTTTTTTTTAGTTTTAATTGCCACGTGTTGACACGTGAATGGTCCAAAATTAAAAAGGGAAATTCTACATGGTGGATTCATGAATTCAGCTTTTCTACGTGAAAGACAAACTTTTTTCCAACTCTCTTAAGTGGCACCAAGGTTTAGAAAAATTAACCATAGTGCATTTTTTTAGGTTTATGGCTAACTTTTTAGTTAAAATGGTTAACCTTTGATTGTTTTTATTAAAAAAAAATTTAAATTATATTTTAAAATAATAAAATTAAAAGAAAATAAAAAAAGTAAAAAAAAAAACAAAAAAATTTCCAAAGATTCCAAGCCACCCCACAAACCCTAACCTTGCCGGAATCCGGCCAACCACCAACTCCCGACCGCCGAAACCACCTCTCAGCCAACTCCCGACCACCAAAACCACCTCCCAGCTAACTCCCGACCACCGAAACCACCTCCCAGCCAACTCCCGATCTCCAAGTGAAACAACCACCTACGACTCACCTTCGCCCTCTAGCCAACCATCCCAAAACTCACCACAACCAACACCATCTTCTCTAACGATGAAACCCCACTAATTCAAACAACCATAATGCATGCCCCAAATCGAACCATCCCACCGAAAGCATGTACCACCACCCAAAACCTCACCAATTTCACCTAATCAAAATTGGCTCAGCAAATCAAAATCTTCATCGTTGTTCATCTGTGTCATCAGATTTGAGTTCGCAAGTGGGCGGCCGTGCATCTGGGTTTGTGGGAGTCGATTTTCGAGTTAGGTGGTGGTGGTTTCGAGTTAGGCGGTAAGAATGGTGGCGATCTCAAAGTTTGTGGGAGTGGGTTTTCATGGGTGATGGCGGCGGTTTAAGGAGGTTATTGGTGGTGTTGGTTTCGTTGCTTGCCAGTGGTGGTTTCACAACTTGTCGGTGGTGGTCGGGAGTTGGTGGCTGGCCGGATTCTGGCAAGGTTAGGGTTTGTGGGGTGGCTGGGAATTTTTGGGATTTTTTTTTTTTTTTTACGTTTTTTTTTAATTTTATTATTGTAAAATATAATTTAAATAATTTTTTAATAAAAAAAAATCAAAGGTTAACCATTTTAACTAAAAAAAGTTGTCCATAAACCTAAAAAAAGGCACTATGGTTAATTTTCCTAAACCTTGGTGCCACTTAAAAGAGTTGGAAAAAAGTTCGTCTTCCATGTAGAAAAGCTGATTTTATGAGGCCACCATGTAGAAATTCCCAATTAAATTTTTTAAAAAAAAAACATATAAAAAAAGTCCAGCCACCTTTCCCCACCCACTACCCTCGCCGGAACCCTAACCCCACCCCTAATCTCGCCGGGAACTGACCGGCTAACCCACCTTAATCGCCGAAACGACCGACCGTCCTCTACCACCCATCTATAACTATATACTAAAGGCGAATAGAAAATGACATGTGTCAATTTCTGGTTAAAAATTTTCCCGCTAATTTTTTTTTTTTTTTTTTTTTTTTTTTTGCAAACCATCTTAAATAATCTACTTTAATATTTTCCTTTCTAATATTTAAATTAAATATCATTCCAAATCTTCCATATCTTTTATACGAAGTATTCAAAAAAAAAAAATCAATGTAATGATATCTTTTCCACCCAAAATCAATAATTTCAATGTATAATTTATACAGCTACATATAGAAAATTAAGTATGTAGTAATTATTATTATAAAAAAATAGGAAAAATACACTTAAATAATATAAACTATGGGAGATTTAAGTCTAATAATCCCAACTATGGGGTTAGTTTGCCTCCAATGGTTCCAATGACCGGTGACCTGAAAGAGTTTTTGTTTGAAATTGGATAAAAGTTTGATGTTGAATTAGAGGCTTGATCACCCTTTACTTTACAGTTACGCATAGCATCAATTACCAAATTTTTCCACACCTTCACCCCTTAGCTTACGTTACAACCCTTTATAATCCTTTTGACTTAGATTAGTTATGTCACTAGTCGGTGGAGGGAGCTAGATATCAAGCATATGGAGAGAGCATGACTTGGAAAGATGTCGGGTTCCCTTTGTTCTTATTGTCTTATCTTTGTTCCGGCTCTTTCATGGAGTCAAGAGATGCTACCTCGAAGGGTGGATTTGATTCTAGATGAGAGAACATAGTAAGATTGTTTGGAATTCGGGGGGAGTGGAGCTTGTTAGAGTTCTCTATGGTTACCATAGCTTATCCTTCAATCAACCATTGACATCCGCTTACGTGCTCACTCTTATTGCTTAGAAAGTTTGTCATTCATATATGCTTGTCTCTCTAAAAAGTTCTTCTTGATCATGATTTGTGATGTGTTTTTAAACTAGTTTTCTAGTTATTTTACTATTTATGTCACCCTTTTTAGTCTGTATTTCACTTATTTTCTTTGTATTTTGTCACTTAATTTGAGTATTTCTGTAGTTTTTAATAAATTTTAATTTATTTTCGTAGTTTTAGTTAATAATTTCTCACTTCTCTCTTTTCCTTATTTATTTTAGTTTAGCATTTTATTTTACTTCGAGTTATTTTACTATTTTATTTTATTCTTTATTCTCCCCTCGGTTTTGTGTGTAAGGCCTTGTTTAGTTCAACTTATATTTACTTATTTCAGAAATAATAAGTTCAGATCAGATCAGATCAGAAAAAATAAGTTCAGATCAGAACATCGTTTTATGAGCGGTTTTTTATCACTAAATATTCTTAATTTCGTAATGAAAAAAATTGTGAAAATTACATATTAATAAACTACACATTATTACGAATCTAACAAGATTCCACTTGGTATATTTTTTTCCTTATAGATTATCGTACACTTAAGGTCAAAGTTTAGTCAAATCAGAAGATCAGATCAGACCAGACCAGACCAGATCAGATCAGTAAAAATAAGGTGAACTAAACAAGGCCTAAGAGCGAGTATGGGTTTCGGGATCAAGTCAAGAGCTCACACCAAGGCAGCAACCAAGACCCACATTTCCCCAGTTTTCTTCACACAACACCAACAAAACTCATTTCCCTGCTTTTTTCACACCTTTTAAC